CATCATAGAAATGCAACTCAAAACAACTCTGAGATACCATCTTACACTGGCCAGAATGGCTAAAATCAAAAACAGCAATTACAGTCTATGCTGGAAAAGACTGGATAAAAAGGAAATCTCCTCCATTGCTGGTGGGAGTGCAAAATTGTTAGGCCACTTTGGAAATCAGTATGGCGATTGCTCAGAAAAATGGGAATCGTCTACCTTAAGATCCAGCAATTCCCCTCTTGGGCATATACCCCATTAATGCAGTCCATACAACAAGGACGTATGTTCAACCATGTTCATAGCAGCATTGTTTGTAATAGCCAGAACCTGCAAGCAACCTAGATGCCCCTTAACTGAAGAATAGAGAAAATTTGGTGTATTTATACAATGGAGAACTACTCAGCAGAAAAAAAAAACAATGAATCTTGAAATTCAAAGGCAAATGGGTAGAACTAGAAGAAACCATCATGAATGAGGTAACCCAGTCACAAAAAGACATACATGGTTTGTACTCACTCATATATGAATTTTAGACCTAGAGAAAAGGATTACCAGCCTACAATCTTCTTCACCAAAGAAACTAGGTAACAAGAAGGACTCTAAGGGAAAAATGCATGGACTCCAGGAATGGGAAGTGGCAGGAAATCTTGAGCTAATTGGGAGCAAGAAGGTAGGGGAGAGAGAGCTGCCAGAAAGAGAAGAGAAGAGGATAGGAGAGGAGGAAATTGAGGAGGAGAAATATTGAGTTGGGGGAAGAATAGAGGAGAGCAGGATGTGAGATACCATATTAGAGAGAACCATTATAGGTTCGAGGCAAGATATGGCACTAGGGAGATTTCCAGAGACCTACAAGGATGACCCAAACTGACAATCTATGCAATAGAGGAGAGGATAACATAAATGCCCTTCCCCTATAAAGAGACTGATGACTACTTTTTATGCCATCTTAGTGCCCTCATCAACTAGCTGATGGAAGCAGAGGCAGACACCCACAGATATACACTGACCTGAACTCTGGAACCTAGCTGCAGAGAGGGAGGAATGAAGATCAAATGGGTTGGTACTAGGATGGTGAAACCCACAGAAACAGCTGGCCTGTACAAGAGGGAGCTCATGGATCCCAGACTGTGTCTGGGAGGCCAGTACAGGACTGACCCAGACCCCTGAACATGGATGTCAATTAGGAGGCCTCGTACACTAGGGGGTCCCTGGTAGTGGATTGGTCTTTTTCCCTGGTGTAAGAAGGGACTTTGCGAGCCCATCCCACTTGAAGGGATGCACTGTCAGCCTGGAAAAATGGGAGAGGGCAGAGGCCCTGCCCTGGATGATGTGTTAGACTTGGGGAGCCCTACCCTGCCTGGGGAGTGGAAGGTGGAAGAGGTGGGAGTAGGTGAGGAGAGGGTTGAGGAGAGGGGAGAGAAGGGGGAGAAGTGATTGAAATGTGAAGCAAGCTTATTCCTAAATTGAACTAATAAAATAAATTAAAATATGGAAAATACAAGGATAAAAAAGAATATCAAATTTAGAGAAACTGAGAAGAAACACAATGGTATTTTGGAGTGGAGAAATACAAAACAATGGACAGGGTCTTCAGGGAATTTAGCGGATTCTAAAAAATTGATATAAAATCTTGGAAACTGATTTAATAACATTACTCAGTCAGCACTGAAGGGCAGGGAAAAATAAAGAGAAGAAATTTGTGAAATGGATAAGATTATTGGGAAAAAATGCTGTTTCACCTTCCCAGATAGATGAAATAGAAGAACTACAAATCCAACACAATGACCTAGATTAATTTGTGATTATATCAGAGATACCCACACCACTACACACCATATTCCACCTAACAAATATAGGGTAAACAGAGAATGCTGAGAGCAACATAGAGTATGCCTCATTGCATTCTGTATCAAAATGCTATGAACACAGCTCATATCAGGAATGTCAACATGGAGAGGAAAGTGAGATTGGTGGGTGCTAAAAGAAAAAGTACATTTAGGATTTAAATAAAACCAAGATTCTACATATGGCAGCATTATGGGTCCAAAACTAGAGAGTAAACGTGTTCTTTCTAGTGAAAAATCTGAGGTTATTTCATTGAAATGTGCCCGGTGGGAAATGGTAATGTGAAGCCTTGCATTGAAACAAAGAATGCCAAGAAGAAGCTACAGTTGTAGTTGGCTATACAGTGAATTTTAAAATGTTTTAATACATGCTGAGTTCCCAACTTCCCTTTAGCTGTTGGACAATGGTGTCTCTAATCATATACCTGAGAGGTTCTCCTAATGGACTTAGGGCATGGAGGCCACAAACCAGGAGCTACTGAGAAGCATGGGATTGGGCTCAGACAGCAGTCACTGTTAGGTCTCAAACAAGTATATCTGATAAGGTAAGCCAGTTTTCTTAGACACCTTAAGCCATAAACAAAAAGGAACTTTTTGAAATTAAAACTTTGTATAATGAACTAGTAGCAAAACTAGCAAGCATGTGGATAGTTTAGAATACTGCCAATTGAAAAATGAAATTAGGGACAAATAATTGGAATTAGTTGTATCATATAATCTTTCAAGTTCATTTAAAATTTGACATATGTATAGAAAGTATAAAACCAATTTTGTCAAAGTACTGTAATTTATTCCATCCCTAAATTTATAGACTAACTTTTGGAACAAATATCCATGCACACTAAAAAGCCCTATTTAGCTTTATTACTAAGATAACCTAATTCAAGAAATTGATAATTTAGCATCTCCTAAAATTTCATGAACATATTTAATACTGTATTTGAAATAAAAATTCTAACACATATTTTGTTAAGCACTAGGACCTATAATTTCAGACAGGCACAAATCACAAACAATTAAAAGAACATATAAGGTTTACTTTTTCAGAAGTCTTTCCTAAACTCCACACATTGTGGCATCCATTCCTCTGGACAATTTCTTATTAGGATACATGTTATAACATAATGAATAAAAAACCCTAAATTTGCCTGCTTTCTCTTTGCCCTTCTTAGAGTCTCCTGGTATGGGGATTGTATACAGGCATACTTGCTCTGGCAGACCAAGCCATTCAGAATCTGCCAAAATCTCCATGGGTGTCCTGGTTTTACCAACATGAAGAGGAGACCTAAAAGAATATTGGACCTACATGAACCTACTGGAAGAGAATGTGGGTCCAATAACCACCAGGAGAGGGAGAGACCCCAACAGCAACTACTGGGAAAAGGGATGGGAAGACAACAATATAAGAACACATTCAATAATAAAAAGAGTAATAAAGCACCACTAGAAAATAGTGGTGTTACACAAGCAAGACCTGAAGATCCCAGCACAGATGAAGCAGAAGAGAATGACTTAAAAACATCATGAAGATGATATAGACTTTCAAATAAGAAATGTGAAAATTCCTTAAGGAAATGGAAGAAAAACACATAAAAATTCAAGAAATGGAGGAAAAGACAAACCAAAAAAAAATGCAAGAAATAAATCTCTTAAAGCAGTATATATACACGGGCTGAGAAAGAAATCAGGGAAACATCAACCATTACAATCACCACAAACAACATAAAATCTCTTGGGGTAACTCTAAACAAACAAGTGAAAGAACTGTACAATAAGAACTGTGAGTCTTTAAAGAAAGAAATAAAAGAAGACACCAGAAAGGGGTATGATCTCCCATGCTCATGGTTAGGTAGGATCAACATAGTAAAAATGGCAATCTTGCCCAAAGTTGTCTACTGATTCAATGCAATCCCATCAAAACCCCAAAATAATTCTTCAAAGACCTTGAAAATAAAAAATACTCAACTTTAAGAGGAAAATCTTAAAACAACTGTGTACAATAAAGGAACTTATGGGGGCATCACCATCCCTGACTTCAAGGTAAGTACTCACCACGGACATACAACACTGTGCCTCGTCCAGACTGAAACTCCTCATCAACTATTGCTTTTCGGATCTTCACACAGTAGTAGGTACCAGCATCAGTGGGTATGACATTACTGATGCGGATAGTAAAATCCATGTTCTTCCTCTTTGAAGTATCTGTAACATTGGTGATTCTGGAGAACACCTCTCCTGGGAAACTATAGATAAGTTGCCGACCTTGCCCTGCATCCCTGTGCCACACAATGGATCCCAGAGGGAGCCAGGTTGTCGCAGTGCAGTTCAGAGTGGCTGACTCTCCTGGAGAGACAGAAACTGATATCTGAGGCTGAATCACCACCAACTCCTCCATGGCTGCTCCTGTAGGAAACAACAGTTAGTGCTCAACCTAAAGGGAACCTGCCTGCATGCATGTAATCATAGTTGCCCTCACCTGGGTGTCTATAAAATATAGCAAAAATGAGGGAATGAATCACAGAGACACTTAGAACTTGGCAATATTCTGATTGAAGTCCCAATTCTGTTTGAAAAGCTCATGCTTCTTCTCTTCTCCGTTTTGCTTTGTTTTCTGTACACATGGCATGAGACACTCCTTCTGTTTTAGATATGATTACTTGACTCTTTTAGACTAGTGAGATTAGAATTTAAGATTAAGTGCTTTTTATGGTTATTGTGATGTACATTTGATTACAAGATTCTCTGAGTCATGTTCCAGTGTCAAGATAGGGTTGATTAACCTATTGTAGTGATAATACCATAGATAGCTCTCAATATATAGTAATATACACCTTAATTGGGGAAATAAAGCCTCAGTTTAAGTTGTCAGTTTTTAAAATATGTATTATAATCACATTAATTGATTGATTGATTGATTGGTTAGTTTTATGTGTATGAATGCTTTGCCTGCAGGTATTTTTTTTTTTTCATCAAATGCATGCGTGGTGCTCAAGCAAGGCAGGAAGATGTGTCAGATTCCCACTTTCTGATGTTACAGATTGTTGTGAATCACCAAGTGCATGTTGGATATAAAACAGAAGAATAGAATGTGTTCTTAAATCTTAAACCATCTCTCCACACCCAGCATTATACACTTCAAGAATGATATAACATATTATTATAAAATCAGTCTTTTAACACAACAGATACATTTTATTTCATGTTCAGGTAGAAATTCTAATTTGCTGTGACAAAGTAATTAGCCTGTTGTCATAACACCCCAGTCTACAAGAGGCTCTCTTTCTTTCTTTGCACATGATGTGGTCACCTAGATATTTTGTCCCTCGGCACATCTCTTTACAAAATTGAACTCTCTTTGCTCAGTAACTTGACTCCCACAATTCTGACACGTATTTCCTCTCTTTTGCCAGCAATTTGGTGAACTGCTATGACTGAACTATATTGCCCTGTTGTATTCTACAGGAACAAGATTGGACAACATTTATATGAAACATGAAAACCCCAAAAGAAAGTATGGAAAAGTACTAAGGAAAGTCAAGAGTCTGAATAACAAAATTAGAATAGCGAGTTGAAAGAAACTGAGAAGGAACAGAATGATAGTGTGGAATTGAAAAATACAAAAATTAGAAGTGCAATGGACAGTGTCTACAGGGAATGTAGCAGATTCTCAAAAAATTGATATAAAATCTTAGAAAATGATTCAGTAACATTACTCAGTCAGAACTGCAGGACAGGGATACAATAAAGAGAAGAATTTGGTGAGATGAGTAAGATTATTGGGAAAAATGCTGTCTCATCTTCACAAATAGATCAAATAGATGAATTATAAATCCAACACACTGACCTAATTACATTTGTGATTATATCATGGAGACCCACACCAATACACACCATATCCACCTGACAAATGTTGAGTAAACAGAGAATTCTAAGAGCAGCATAGTGTGTGACTCATCACATTCTGAATCAAAATTCTATGAACACAGCTCATATCAGGAATGTCAACATGCAGAAGAAAGTGAGCTGGTGACTGCTAAAAGAAAAAAATACATTTACCATTTAAATAAAACCAAGATTCTACATATGGCAGCACAATGGGACCAACACTAGAGAGTAAACATGCTCTTTCTAGTGAAAAATCTGAGGTTATTACACTGAAATGTGCCCTGGGAGAAATGTTAATGGAATGCCTTGCATTGAAACCAAGAATGCTAAAGAATAAGCTACAGTTGTAAAAGAAAAACAGTGCTACTCCTGCCTAAGGTCCCCATCACCCCAGGATCTTTCTGGACCTACAGCTGCATAGAGTGGAACAGCCTGCATATAGTGGACCCGCCCAGACCGGAAGGACCTCTGTGAGCCTGGAAACACCTCACTCTGCCTTCCCCCTCCGCTGCCCTGACTTCTCCTGAGCCCCACTCCTGTCCAAGATCCCCATCACCCCAGGATTTCTCTAGGCCTGTGCCTGCCTAGAGTGGACCCACTCAGGCAGGAAGGACCACCCTGAGTCTGGGAATAAATCACTCTTCCCCCTCTGCTGACTTGACCTCTCCTGAGCCCTACTCCTACCCAAGGTGCCCATCACCCCATGATCTCTCTGTGCATTCATCTTCATAGGGTGGACCCACCCAGACAGGAAGGACCTTGTGACAAGAAGATAGAGAGACCCCACCTGCAACCACTGGAAGAAGAGATGGGAAGAAGGCATAATAAGAACACACTAAACAGTATGACCAATATGACACCACCAGAATCTAGGGACTCCACAACAGCAAGATATGAAA